AAAAACAGCAAAAATACAACAGCAGGAAAAATCACGCTCCTTGTCAACTTTTGCCGAAAAGCACGCTCGTGCCAGTCCTTTTCCGCATCACACATCGATCAGCGCGACATCAGCGCGTTTCACCGCCCTCTATATAAGCGCCCTGGTCGTGGGTTTTCTCCAGACGCTCCGGTTTCCTCCCACAGGAAAGTTGACAGGGTGGGTTAGGATAAACATACAGTTAGGAAAGTAATATCACAAATCATGTCGTAAAAATAAATAGTCTAAGCTTAGGTAGGTACAGTAATATAAGTAAGCGTAATACTTTATGTAATCGGTCGCTGAAAAGCCCCGATGGGGAGTGAGCTGAATAATTATAATCATATGTAATCATGTGGAGGCCATGGTGGTGAAGCTTGTTTCAATTCTAAACGTCTACCCAGTTTGAAACTTTATACTTTAATACCTTTATACTTTAATACCTTTATACTTTTAGACTTGAACCATTTATACTTTAATTTATATTTCAGGCACATATTGTAGATATATTGAAGTCGAAGTTTACAAGTTATAAAGATTTTCATACCTTACTGTACACATGTGCACCTGAATTTAATTTTATTGAAGTAGAGGTATGTAATGTTTAAAAATTGCGAATACCAAAAGAATCATGGCCGAGACAGCGAACTGGAAATCTCAGAGTGGTTATGTAGCTAGGGTTTTGACGATTTCTACTGAGAAAATATATGATAAAATGCACCATTTTATCTTTGTTGAAGCTTCACTTTCTAAATTTGTCCATCTTAATTCTAATTGTTCCCAAATTATAGTCATGTACATCATATATACTCGTGTAATAGTTGCAGGACGTCCCATCCCCGCAAATACTATTTTTAAGTAATATGAAATTGACTTACATATATATATATATCTACTGATCTAATTTGTTCTCTAGACATTTTACAAGTTATCAAAGACATTATTGTTACCTTGTGCTTTTCTGGGTATAGTAGCTGTCCTATTCAAGGTAAGGTTAGTTTGGTGAGGTAATGTTTAGCTTGTAGAAGTCACAACATACAGTATGCAGGATAGTAATTTTTTCAAACTTTCTAAAATAAACCTTTCTTATAATGACGGAAAAACAATTCGCAATGCAAATTATGCTTGTTGAAATTTATTGGTTCGCCAACGACTTGCTTTTCCCGTGGGACATCGCATAAATTGGTTTTCCGCCTTTGACGTCGTTATAAGGAAGGTCTATTGTCCGTTGATTAAAATAAGTTAAATAACACAGATTAAACTTTAGTATTGATAAATTAGAGTTTCTGTTTCACAGACCTGGTCTGTGACCCAGGTGAGTTCGATATCTGCATGTAGTTTTACAGCTTTCCAAAATACCAAATATTTTTTACATAGGTTGAAAAAATCACTATCCAGTGGATAGCGCTATCATGGCCTTCGTGATGAATAACCAACTAATGATACCATAGGCAGCCCAAAACTGCGTGTAGAATGCACCAAATGCGTCCAAATGCCAATTTATATTAAGCTCGCCCCATTCCTCTGTCATTTGTCGCGCGCCGCAAGCACTCAATGAAAAGCATTAGTATGGGCTGCCTATGATACGGAACACGACTGAATTTTGTTTGCATGCAAATCGTGCATTTAGACAAGTTAAATTACGGCCTTTGCAACATTGACCTTTGTACATTTTAACTACATTTTTAACGGACTGGCGCAGCTGGGATATATCTTATCGGTTAAGTAATCCAGTAAGGGTCCGTGGTAAAATGCCACCCTCCCCTCTCGGCGGCACTGCATGTTCAACATTTTCCGTACGTATACGTACAGGATGCATGTATGTCCTCATTCGCAGAGTTATTTGAATATATGGTATGTATTTCGTTTCTCAGGTCATAAAATTTGAGATCCATTACTGGTTATGGAGAGATGATGAGAAACCTAATGGTACAGCAGACGAGAATGGGGAGGATGACATGTAAGTTGCTTTAATGCAGTGACGTTATGTTCAATTATTGTACTTACACATTTTAGCTATATGTTACATAGATGTATAAATTCAATATCTGTTATTTCATTTCCATTATCAATAAATCGTGGGTTTTCTATTAAACAGGCCATTATCAAATCCAAAACCGTGTGCAGAGGTACAGTATTTATTAGCACTACATGTATGTCAATTAAATCTTGTGGGGCTGGGTAGACAGTTGCTTTCATGTTGGCGGGGGCATTGTGGTTCTATGCAAAATGTTATTGTATATGGCATGGTATTGCGTGGAATAGGACAGTATATCATGGTACGGTACAGTTGGCATGGAATGGTATAGTATGACATGGTATGGCATACCATAGAATGTAATGGGATGGTATGGTTCGTATAAGGCGTGTTCTGCTGTGCAAAAGTTTAATAAAATACATGCTAATGAAGTGTACTAAACTTTTGAATTTTTGGCAAAATAAACTCTTGCTTTGTTTTTTCTATTAGCATTTCTATCACGTACTCCAAGCATCCGCGTTTGTCATTATTGCCATTCTAATCATGCGTCTCAAGTTATTTGGAACACCTGCATTATGTATTATGGCTTCCATGGTCGCTTCACGAGAGGTAAACTTTGCAACTTGTTTGCTGAAAGTTCTTTGTTGAGATGTTCTTTACAAGTTGAATAAAAATGTCCCTCTGTGAGACAATTTTAATTTAGACTTTGTTCAGTTAATATTTGATGATGTCATTGTCACAGAAACCTTTTTCTTTCTAGTACTTCAGTTTTGTTGGCAGTAAGAATCGCCACCAGGCAATCTTGGTTATATTATTGGCAATGATGTCAGTCCAAGGAATTGACAATTTAAACACCCAGTTTGTATGTTTAGTTCAAAATATTTTGATGTTTTGAGGAACTTGATGATTACTGCATATTTGCAGCTTGTTTCAAAACGGATTCCAGAAAAATATTGTTCATTCTTTGTTTAGAATACAAGTGGAGAATATAACAATCCTCACTTGGAAGAACTAGTACGTATGATCACTGCGTTGTAATTACACATTTATGTGACCACCTAGCTGTTTCAGACGTCGAACTTTTCATGAGCTGAATCCAGTGTAAATGACCTAAACCATGCAGTCTTTGTTCAAGCCGTATTTACACTAGAATCGCCATGCAATAACTATTTAGAAATATAAGTTATACTGTCATTAATTATTTGTGATTAGTCTGGTGCTTCTAAAGTCATTTTCCCTAATAATGATAACATTATTAATATTGTGTTTAGATAAGCTGGATCGATACAAAAACTTCAAAATGTAAGTTAAACTCTCTACAAGTGAAAACGCGATTATTATACTATGTAGGTAATCGATTGATTTTGGAAAATGTCATGCCACTAGACGATGTCGAAACCGTACAAAGTTTTGACCTTTTCGATGTTTTTTTCGCGAAACCTGTATGGATTCAAAACCATATGAACAGGCGGAATCGTACGGAATGGTTACATAATATAGGACGGATCTAGAGCCGCACTTGCAGCTCCGAAACTAGTATGGATCCACCTGTTAGCACGGTTCAGAATCCATATTGTCCTGAATGCACTGATAGAACTCTCAAACGTATTGATCCGACAATGTGTTCTAAGTTATTTGATTATTGCACAGTTAAATAGTCAAAATGTAGTCTTGTATATCATATATTCAGTACCTCGATGTTTTCCTACAGCACACGTGTTTGCTGGTTCAATGCCTGCAATGGCAACAGTCAAGTTGACTACAAAAAGACCAATAGTGAATCATCCACATTATGAAGATGCTGGCTTAAGGTATTCTTACGCAGAATGCGAGCTATAATAACGTTCAGTGAACTGATAACCGAGGCGACAAAGAGGCCAGACGGAGGGAATTTTTCCTGGAATGGGAATACAAAATACTTCCAAAGCAGTTTTATAATAATCATCTTTTGTATTTTTGTTTTCTATCGGATAAATTATAGTAATATTTATATTGATTTGGATTCTTAAAAGCATGAATAATAATGAGAGAAAGAAATCAAGGCAAAGTCCAGGCCTTGTCCGCCTTTATTGGGTGGCAAACTGCACGGGGAAAGCACACGGCAACAAGGAGTGAATTTAGTAAAGTTAAAACTTGGAATTCTATATGTATTAAATGCAAACAGGCTAGGTATCTTGTTGTTTTTGACTTTTGTATTGTAACGTGTTTCTTTTAGTTTACCATACCGCAGTAATTGGGGTAACATGTTAACCCTAACACTTTTATAATTGTAATTATATATTTTGTATATTATAATTATATATAGCTTCTTTCCCTCATTTGTCATCCTATATGTTGCTGCGCGGTTTGCCATCCAAAAATGGATGCCAATGCCTGCTCGCCTGATATTCAATTTTTTTTATATATATTTTAGAGAACGAACGAAAAAGGTGTATCAAATCTATAGTAGAAAACCTTGTGAAAAAAGCTGGCAAACGCTGCGTGATATGGGCGTAAATTACATCATTATTGAAAGAAACTGGTGTTTTGGTAGATCAAGGTAGGTTTTGATACCGTTTATTGCACTCTTGCCTCAATGGCCTCGTTTTCATGTTCGCCTGTTGGTGGCCACATGAAAACGAGGCCTTGGGGCGAAAATGCAATAAACGGCCAGGTCAATTAAAAGGTTGTCATGCTTTCATTGTTGAAACCACGTGAAACTTGTTATAACTTACAGTTCCTGAGTTAATCGACTATCTTTCAGAGATTTTGCTAATTCGATTCTGCATACATAGGTATTCTCCAAAACGCTCGCCTCATCTGAAAAATATTGTTATTTCCTCGATGTATTGGATTTCACAAATGCATTGTCTTCAATGTCTTGCAAACATTGTTTCCTTAGTTTTTTGACATGCCCCAGGCACAGAAAGGATTCGTGACTCGTATGCCTACTCCGCACGCATGAGTCACGAATTAGGAGCACTTACTATTTTTGTATTCTACTGACTATATTGTATTCTATTGTGTTGCCTCGTTCTCTGAAAACCTCGCTTTCTGTTGTCTGCCCTAATCTTGCCAGGTTGGTCTACAAGCAAATGTTTCGTACAAACATTTCCTGGTTTTTCCACCTAAAGCTGAAAATACAGTATGATATCCAGCAACATGTTTTCCAGTTCGCCATGGCCCTGGGCCTTTCTAATTATGACTGTTTATATTGGCTTAATCTGTTTTAGAGAAAAATGCAGTATGCCAGATATCTGGGACGTTGAAGATAATAAAAACAGAGGAAGGCCTAGTTGCTGTAGTTTACTATTTAGAAAAGTGGAAGAGGGATCACATGTTAAACCTTTTCAATTGGCGTTTAGAAACAATGATTATACGGTACTCAGGACATGAAATATGGACAGATGTATAATTAAATATCAGCAAAAAAATCAAATTTTAACTATCTCGTTTTAAAGAAATTTCAAAATGTAAATTTACGTTATTTATTTCACAACGATGTTTTTGCATGGGCTCTTCCATATGAGAAGTTAGAAAATCACATATTTTGAAACCAGTAAATACAGTATGTAACGACTTATGTATGCATTCACGAAAGATTATGAGTTGAACAAAGTTTGTATTTGTTGGTTACATTTGGACCACACCCTCCCTCTTGGGGTTCTATAACTCAGTCTATACGTAATAAAATTTGCTGCAAACACTGACTTCGAACATGAACTTTCTGTGCGGATCGTTAAGGCGCCATAGTTTGATTTCCTGTTAAATTATTTTTCTTGGTTTCAGCCATAACAACTCCTGAACCCAGTTGATTACCATTTTTAGTATAATTACATAGATGATTATTGAAAATTATCCACGCTCATTGGTTGCCGTTGAGGTGATTATAACGCGATAATCACCTAAGCGATTTTCAAAATGGCGGCCGAAGCCATTTGGTCAATTAAATGACGAAGGATTGAAGGAATGTGTATTTTTTATTTTATTCCAAATATTCACCTATGAAATTATACTAAAACAATTATTCACCGATAATCACGTCGCCTTCGGCGAATAATTGTTAAATAAATACCTATTCCAGTGCATTTTGCTTCGCATCACGCTTCGGTAAGATACGGTTGAAGACTTGAAGTGGAAAACTGGCTAAAGGCATCGTAACGTATCGTAGTCATTGGTTCCACACTAATGCTCAGGAAACAAAGAAATACGTATAGGTTATTTTGAGGCAACGAAGGGATATGTGATTAAAGCCCGCCGCACACGAGAGCAACTTGCTAAGCTAACCGCCTCGCGAGGCGGTTAGCTCGCTCAGCAAGTTACTCTCGTGTGCGGATAGTTCGCCTCGCGAGGAAAAAATCTCAGCGTCTGTGGATGTTGTGAGCTAAGTGCTGAGCTGTTTGAATCAATTAGCCAATGAGAAACCATAGTTTCTTCATGTGACTTGGAACAAAATGGAGGAAAATGCAAATGATTTTGTCATTTATGTTGTTGAGTAGTTTTCCGAACGTGTACGATGAAAATACATAGCTGAGCTAGCTGCCACGTGAGGCGGTTAGCTCAGCAAGTTGCTCTCGTGTGCGGCGGGCTTAATTCACCGAGGCGCGCAGCGCCGAGGTGAATAAACACATATCCCCGAGGTCGCGTTAATGAGTCAGAACAGAAATAATTCTTAATGCCATACTGCCTTCGTTATGTTGTTTTTTTCTCATTTTTTGTGCTGCAAAGACATTACAGGTGAATATTAGAGGGGATTATTAAATGGAATTGATTAGAGGGGAATATTATAAGCCAGTTTTCCACTTCAATCGTACTGAAACGAAGCGTATTTCTTTGTTTCCTGAGCGGTGTGAAACTAATGACTTCGAGACAAAAGAAAATGCTACGATACGTTACGTTGCGATTGAAGTGGAAACAGGCTTTATGCTTGTTTTCCACTTCAACCGTATCATGCCGAAGCGTATCGTACGTCTTGTTTCTTCAGCACTAAAGTGGAACTAATGACTTCGACACAAAAGAAAATGCTACGGTACGTTACGATTGAAGTGGAAACACACTTGTTTTCCACTTGCGAATTTCTTCGCGCAAAGCGAATTTGCTATTGTTTAAATTGAAAAGAATTGATTAAAAATCTAATTAGTTCAGTTGAGAGCTCATATTAAATACAAAAGATTGGCGCGAACAATTAATTCGCTAGTGGAAAACAGGCTTTAGCTACCATGCGGCTAATAAAACAAGAAAATGTTATGACTATAGTGTATGAACAGTAGAAAGAAAACGTTAAAACGTTGCAAAATGGTTTCTGGATGTAATGTTCCTAACAGTGCATGAACAGTAAAGATTGCTTGATATGCGTAAATCAGACGTCAATGGCACAGTATTGTCTCTAAAAGCGTAACTACTGGCACGCCATGATTCGCAATGATTCATCATCAATGCACTTGCATGTTCCGCCCAGCCAGTTTGTTTATGAGGCATTCACCCTACTGAACGTCCACCATTTTGCGGTTGTTGTGCCTACAATCTTGGCAAAAAGTTAATGAAACACCTATAAAAAATCAATAAAACAGACAAAATCCCCTCCCCCCTGCACAATGTTGGACATAGATTCTAAAAAATTGTGTACAATAGTTCATCGATGGCAGAGAGCACTATGTGTAGGTTTCTTGTTCATCTTAATCAACATTGGAAGGGTGGAAGAATAAATTAAATTGTTAATCAAACTGGATGTTTCATTAGTTTTTGCCAGGATTGTAGATACTGTGCCAGAAATATCACAAGCAAAATTGATTGATGAAGGGTTTGAATACAGGTTTACTCATTTTTATTGTTCACTAGATTATATTTACAAACTGTTTTATTTAACGTTTCGTATAACTTTGATAATGGTTTCCTTAGAGGAAACCAAAACGTTAGACAAAATAAAACATTTTGTAATGTAGATGAACAATAAAATGGTTGTATTGTAGGAATTTTCCAGTTCAAATTGTCATTTGCATTTTTTGTCATTTTCTAATAAACCTTTTTCCAGAAAGCGGTACCAATTTCCCGTGCGCAATACAAAATGACTGAAAAACGGCAAACTTCGCGCGCTATATTATCCGCATTTTACAACATTTCGCAACAAAACTTCGGATATTACTCATTTTGGGTTATCGTTCCATGTTTCGCGCACCAATATAGGTTAGGGGTTAGGTATTAGGGGTTAGGTTAGGCTTGATTTGTCTAAATCAAAATTTTTTTCATAGGTAATAGGTTCATTGAGGCAAACAAATCTTTAAAAATATTTCCCTTTTATTTCCATTGAAAAAGTAGTAGAATTCAATATATATATTTACTTTGTCAATAATATTTACAAAAATATTACAATATATATACCAAGTATAAATACATCGTATTAATTTAACTTAAACACGTACTAATATTAGTGAATGGTTGCATGCGTACAAACATTAATTGAAGTAAATTACTAAATTTGCGATGAAAACACTCGCAAGTCGAATTTTTAATCACGCCAGTGACGGCCCAAACTGAAACAAGTCGAAACACGCGATCCTTTGGAAATTGTATTGGTGAATAATAAATTATTATAAAAACATGACCAAAAATAATTTAATAATTTTACACAATCGATTGAAGAAATCGAATATCAACTTTTGCATCTACCAGATTTCCTCATTTTCTTTGAATACTTCTTTGCTATCTCGACCAAAGGAAGATCATCTTCATCTGATGAGTCGCAGTCATTCTTTCGACTAGCTTTGTATTCCTGCCATTGTTCAGGCTGAAAGGCAATAGAAAACATTACAAGGTTATTTATACAGTAATAATGTTATGAATGGCACAGTATCTCGCCTGTGTTTGCATGAAGGGCTCGTGTTATTTCGAAAGTATCAAAAAATTGTGTTTTATGAATTATGGAGCAAATGACGCGGCTCTGCTTCGCTTATAAGGAAAATTATCAATCCTACTAAGGACAACCTTGGATGGTACATAATCAACAAGATCAAGCCTAGACTAAAAGAGTCTTGAATATGCGGTTTCACTAAGTACACTGAGTTTTTGTTAGTAAAATAATGCACCTACAGTGACTCGAAATTTTAAGTACTCAAATTTATGAGCAATTTACTCCATCTTATGTCGTAACTAAATTTTTGGAGTAAAGATTTACTTTACTTAGGAAGACGGGTCAATTTGCTCATTCACTGTGGGTGCACTACTTTACTCAAGTTTTTGAGTCAAATTTTTTGCAGTGTGTATACATGTTATTGTAGGTTGCAATTAACAATATATATGACGGATTTCAGGATTAAACTACCTGAAAATCTTCGGCGAAGGCCCCTCGTCTGGAAGTTGTTATATTTTTAAGTACAGTAAAGTTGCCTTGAAGGGCTATCTCTTCCTGTCAGACTCATGCAAGCAATACACTGCGATTTCAAGATGGCGTCGCTGCTAATAAAATAGTCTGCAATGAACTGCTGTTGCAAATAAAAAGTACTTGTTGTTTGCTGTTTTTTCTAACCTTAATCAACGTTTATCCAAGTTCAAGATTTATAGTATACACTACAGTATACCTACCTGGTACTTCTTCACAAATATATCCATGTCAATCTTCACAGAATCTGACTGACAGTCACACTACATAACAGAGAACGAAAGACATCAGATAGGCTCTTCTTTCGGAAAATCTTTCGTTTCAGAAATCTTACGGCAAATATCAGTTAATGTTTCTTTTGCAACAACATTAGATGTAAAATTGAATTTTTATTTTTCATCCTTTTCTACGAACTTTCACACCAATAACGCATTAATGACCCTGTACATATCATGTCCACATCAAAGGTTATCACGAGTAAATCTCTACAAGTATCTTAAGTGATCGTTTAAAGGAGGAAAGGCTGGAGAAGCTAGTAGGAACTAGGAAGTATTTTACAAGCAGAAGTCCATAAACAAGCTTGGAAGGTGGACGATTTGGAAAATGGAACTAAGAGTTAGGGCAGAACTTTGACTTAGCCGGATGCAGTGAAATTAATATAACTGGAACGCTACCTCCAACTGCATGGAAATTTGAAGCCAAACTTGAAGGTCAGTCCCAGTCTTTTCACGCATGCGAAGAGCACGGTCAATCCGTCAACATGAATATGTATTTTTGAAAAATCGGCTTAAAAAAGCTTTTTCATAGCGCTGAAAACGTTCTATTAATGCATTTATTCAGGTAAAACTTCCTAGTAGACTTGAGTTTTTTCTTATTAAAGTTTAAAACGGCATACTCGCTCCATGAACTTGTCTCGCGAGAGAATCGCGAAGTATAAACACGTGGGTCAAGTGTTTGGAGGTCAGATTTTAGCTTCCAGAAAAAGACAGATAAGGTAGCGTTCCAGATGTATTCATTTCACTGGTCGGGTGCGACCATTGTTGACAAAAGAAACGTAAAGTGCCTTGTAGAAGAAAACTAAGTCCTTAATTTCTCTGTTGCAAGATTGTCATAAGATTGTTATGTTATTGTTATAAGATTGTTTTTACGAGCAAAAAAAATCAGGAAAAAATTGCTCGCTTACTGTATATACACGCGTAGATCCATGCCTAAAAATACTGTACAATATACCACATATATACAGTACTCTCTTATCGCGGACAGCCATACACATATGCATGTTTTGTTTTCTTGAGGTATTGATGCTCACAATTAAGCGAAATATTGAATTAATGGACACACACATTAGACGTACAGTAAAAGACTTAGTCTTAGTACCTGTTGCGCCTTCTTGCCATAATCAATCCAACTTTCAAATGCAAAATTTGTTGACTCAGCACAATTGAAACCATGGTTAAAGCCAGAATGATAAGCATATGGAAATGTTATCATGAACTGTCCTGCTTCGTGGACAACCTGTGAATGGCACAGAATAGACTTTACCGCTTATTAACTGTGGATTAAGAGAGATACAACTACCTGAAAAATACAAGCAGAAAGTCGACGTTTCGAGCGAAGACTCTTCGTGTCGGAAATTTAGCTGCTATCCTCCTGACGAAGGGGCTTCGCTCGAAACGTCGAAGTTCTGCTTGTATTTTTTCTGTCTTTTTCAGGTAGTTGTATCTCTCTCAATCCGCCGTTATCTTACTATCGTCTCTATCTACACTGGCACAGACCAATTCTTAATTCAATTCTGCCCTGTCATTGGCTAATTATTACACCAATGCACTTTCCTCCGCAGAGGCTATACAGTATGTCACTTTTTTTTGTGAGGCATTCAGGTAATTGGTGAACGTATCTGCAATGCCTCATAATTTGTGGGTATTATAGCCCGCTTGTGCATGTTTAACTATACAGCCAATTCAAAAAAGTTTGTCCTTTGCAAACCTTAAACTCTAAACCTTAAACTCTAAGCGTGCAAAGCATAATGGGAGCATCATTTAATCAGAATCAGTTTAGAAATCATATATGGGGACCATTCCTTAGAGACATGGTAAATATGTTCTTCTAAGCTTGGAACTTGTGCTCCCATTAAGCTTTGCGCGCTTAGAGTTCAAGGTTTAGAGTTTAAGGTTTGCAAAGGACAGCCTTTTTTGAATTAGCTGTATATAGCTAGCATTCCTGTTTACAGTAACCACAGGTTTAACTATACGCCTCTGCGGAGGAGAGTGAGCTCAATGTATACCGCACAGTTGAGCTATAAGTAACTGGTGTGTCACACCAGGGGTAGACACCAGGGGTAGAGTAGAAACCTCAATCATATTTTGGACCAAGGCAGTGTGTTAGAAGTTTTTAACACAAACCGGGCACGAGATTAAGTCCCACGTGAAAAACAATACAGACAAATAAAGGTCCAAGTGGTTCCTGCTACTATTTATAAAACTTCACTATCCTAGTACGATGACAAGTTAACACGTTAGATCTCATCATCTCAATAATCTACCATACTTGAACAAGAATATGTTGTTGAAGGAAGGCAATCCTGTTGTTTACCTTTGTACAAGGAATATAATATCTTTTCAAGACATGCGGTGATATCACGGTCATTTTGTGTCGAAGAAAGTTCGAACACGTGCCAGAACTGTCAGGAAAGAATCCTAGAAAATAGAGTATAATGAAAGCGATAAACAAATTTAATGTATAGTAGTCAGAAAATGTTTTTGGTCATAATTAGGGCCGATGTTTTTAACTGCTACTGATGATAAACCGGATATACTTTACATGGCCTTAACTATAAATATTGTACTGTACTTATACGAACCTTCAGCAAGCCTCTCTAGACGTTTTCCATGTTCTGGCGGAATTACATACCTGAAATTACAGTAATATTGGTCTTTGTTCAAATTATAACAAATTACATTGAACTAAAGATATACGTTTATTATATGCTGCGCGATTTGTCCGACCGATTTTGCTGCACGTTTAATGGCCACTACATATTTCAGTTGGCAATGTCAGATGACGTTTGCCACGTACTTTTCGGCATCGCAGCGCCTGCCGTGTAACTGAAACGAATAATACTATTGAAAATTCATAAAGTGGTCAGGAATGTCAAATCACATTAATAGAGTCATTAATACAGCATTTATTAAGTGCAATCAGCGAAACAAATATAGTTTATATAAGAATGCACAATTGCAGTTTGAACAATAGCAAGAGTCTTCTTTAGCTGTTACGAAACCATGTGCACAAGTGCCCCTTGAACTTACTTCATCACATATAATGTACAATATTATAAATGACACTGGGAAGATATCAAATGTAATCAGTGTCAGTAAGACGATATTAGTAGAGGAGATGAGTAAAAGCCCATCATGCCAAAATAATGAAAGAAATTTTTGCTATAAGTCTTGAACTACTATATTTAAGTGGTCATGTACATCGATACACGTACTTTAAGTATGATTCTTATGCAGTTATGACATATAAGATTGAACTGCTTTTTGAGTCCTTGTGTATCTATAAATCATTAGAAACAATTACATGCAATATCACCGCTGAAACAATATTGACGTTTCATTTCAGTCTCCAAAGACAAAGTCATAAAAATTAATTAAAGAATATAATTTATACTGCAGCACATGATCAGGATTATTGAAATTACTTAGACTTATTTCCTTAGCAAAAGCACAACCCACTATAGCTCATTCAACTTGCTACCAAGCTTTGATTACTGGCAATTACTGACAACTACCAACAAAATTGACCTTTGTGAAGCACAGGCTGATACACCTACCAGGTCTTCGGTGCACCATAATGGATGTAATTAATGCTAAACAGATCCATATCTTCAGTATGCCAGGCAAATGTAGACTTCCACATTCCAAAGTAAAGATAAGGTGTGTTCACTCCTGGAATTCTGATATTATATTCCTCAACTAAATCATTAAGAATGCTTGGTAAACAACCTATATTCCATGCATGTACATCATCATCAAATATTGAACCAGCTACATCTGCACCATAGAGAGGTGTTTTATATGTAATGTTTTTCCAATATTTTCTTTCCAGTTCTGTATAGTTTCCTTTGGGTGGCTGATACCTGCAAGGTAATTTAATGACAGAGATTCTTTAACTCATCCACTTAACTAAATTTATTACTAAGTGTTAATTACATTTATTATTAGCATGACAAAATTACTGGATGCAGCTGATTGGTCGAGAGGAGTACAATTATTTCATTAATAATAATGCAGTACAATTAATGATTTTCCCAAAACAAACAAAATGGTGGGAAGGTATTTAAACACAAATGAAATTGCCCTTAAAGCAAAAGAACTAAATTAACATACGAACAAAAGCACCAAATTTTGGTTGAAAGTCTGGCAGGACTAGGCTTTGGTGAGAGAATATGATGTTGACATTGAGAATTATCCAATGTTGCCATGCTAATAATAAACAAGTAATCATGCGATGTTGCTCAAACAATTAGGGATTAATAGTACTCGTGATGTTTGGATGAAACATCACACATGCTATGATGTTTGTGATGTTACTCTGAGTGTGCATCCACACCGGGCAAGCTGAAAAATTTGCCTATAACCACGGTGGGAAGAAAATATATCACTCGTACTATTAATCCCTAATTGTACTCGCCATCACATGATTATCTATACATATACAGCAGATACTAGCAATCACCAGAACTGCAGTTCTGTAATAATAATAATAATTAATAATTTATTAGCTTATATTGCGCATTTATCAACCATACAATTTTCAAATGCGCATTGCAAAAGTTAAGAATTTTACAAATATATTAAACTAAGAAACGTTCCAAGCTAATCAAAAGCTTGACGAAATAAAAACGTCACTCTTAACTAATTGTTTAAAATTATTTACAGAGGTACAATTTCTAATAAAGTACGGTAGACTGTTCCACAATACTGGGGCAGCCATACAGAATGCTCTATCTCCCAAAGTCTTAAATGACTTGAGGAACGGAGTGCTAAGTATTGCTAGAACGAAGACTGTATCTATTAGATTTTCTAAGACTAATAGTAATAAGGTTACTTTAAATACTGTGGAGTCATTCCATGAATGGCTTTGAACGTAAGTTAAAGTACATTAAAGTCAACACGATATTTGACGGGTAGCCAATGTAAGTTCTTCAACAGAGGTGTAATTCGACAATACTTCGATTCCTGAAATATTAGACGTGCAGCTGCATTTTGCACTCTTTGTAACTTAGCCAAGCTCAGGGTTGGTAGGTTGCTGAATAATTAGGCCGAACACCGTCACACACTTTCTTTGTCTTGGCCCTTTGTTTTCTAAACGGCACTAATGACGATTTGGCCTAATTATTCATCTAACTTACCAACCCTGAGCCAGCTGACAATTGGGTAGTCCATACAACAAACTGTCGCAATAGTCCAAACGACTTGATATGAATGCATGTATTAGTGTCTCAGTCAATTCTCTGGCAAGATATTTTCTGATACGTCTTATGTTATATAAGAAATAAAACCCAGAACTAGTTCTTAAAATGTGTGTGCTCTTGGTAAAGTTAGAGTCCATCCATACACCGAGATTTTTGCTAACAGGTTGAGGAGCAATAATTTTGATATATGCAATGACTCACAAAATTATTCTGAAGATGAGTTTTCCCTGAACGAGATTGTTTTGACAGAAAGTGAAGTTCGCGCTTGCCTATCTGCGTTTTCAGGATTCTTGCAGGAATATTGTCTGGGCCAGATGCTTTGTTAGGGTCCCTAACAAAGCATCTGGCCCAGACAATATTCCTGCAAGAATCCTGAAACTAACTGGCGACCAAATTTCTCCTTCTATATGTAATCTTTTTAACCTGTCCTTAAAATTAGGGGTTATGCCAACTGCATGGAAGGAAGCAAATGTGACACCTGTCTTTAAAGACGGAAATGCTGCTTGTGTGGAAAATTACAGACCGACCCTTTATTATGCATCCTCTCGAAAGCACTGGAACGATGTGTTCATAACCACATCTATGATTTCATATCTTCTAGAATCAACAAACTGCAACATGGCTTCCAACGTCAGAAAAATTGTACTACGCAACTAATTCAGGTTTATCATAACATTTTGGAAGCCTTGGATAAACGTAACGAGATCGATATCATCTATCTAGATTTCACTAAAGCCTTTGACAAAGTGTCACATCCCTTGTTGTTACAAAAACTGGGAGAGTTTGGATTTCGTGGGCGATTATTGATGTGGCTTGGAAGCTATTTGTCTGGCCGAAAGCAAAGGGTTGTTTTAGAGGGACAACATTCAGATTGGTCAGTGGATGTTTTCTCGGGAGTTCCACAAGGCTCCATCTTATAGGACCTTTATTATTTTCAATATTCATAAACGACTTGCCAAACCAAATAGCGTCTCCTTCCCTAATGGGCTTTATGCCGATGACAGCAAAATGTTTAGAGTAATAAAAAACGAAGCTGACGTGGAACAATTTCAGGGTGATCAGTCAAATGTTCATGACTGGAGTAGGAGATGGCGGATGCAGTTCAACACTAAAAAATTGTAAATTTATGCGTTTGACGCATAAAAAGTCTTTCAAGCATATCCATTATGATATGAATGGCGACTTGCTGGATCGAGTTAAATCAGTGAAAGACCTAGGTATCTCGGTGACAGATAACCTACGATGGTCTCAACACATACAAGAGATAACTTTGAAAACGAATAGAACCTTAGGCTTGGTTAAAAGGGTATGTAGAGATATAAAAGATGTCCATATTAGGAAAGCTCTGTACTGTTCGTTGATAAGACCTCAACTGGAGTATGCATCCGAACTGTGGTCCCCTGAACAAGTCACATACAAGCGAATGTTAGAAAATGTTCAACGAAGAGAGACTAAATTTATTCTGGATTACCCTCAACATTGCAGTTACACGAGAGACTAGTTAAGCTGAACTTGCTTCCCTTGGAACATAGAAGAACGTGAACGGTTTTCTTTTTTAAATACCAAAACGGCTTATACGATCTAGATGTCTCAAATATTGTTAAAAAACGGTCTGTCAAATATAACATTAGATCTTTTAACATTAACAATTTTCATGAGATTAGATGTAACACCGAATTTTATAGACACTCATATTTCCCAAGAGTAATCAGAGCTTGGAATCTATTGCGAGATGATCTGAAGTTTCCACACTAAAGATTTTTTTAAAAACTGAAATTTATAAAATTTACAGCAAAATAAATTCGTGGTCAAAATTTGAAGATAGGTCACCGATGAAACTAATGAGTAAAATGCAAATAAAGTTAGAAAATAGCCTCGTGTAACTCGAGAAATTCAGAGAAATTCCCCTTATTGAAAAGCGTCGCTGACTAGTAAAAGATTGCACGCGGGCGCAGAACGAGCTTTCATTCAGCAAAATCACAGAGTAAAGATATACTCTGTGGCAAAATCGAGCGGCAATGTTGTTTTTACTGTTTTGTTTTTGTCAACTTTTCGATTTATTTGAGTGCCATGGACAGCCAAGGATTATTGTGAAGGATCAAATCGATGAAAACAACAAAACCTCTTTAATTTAAGGTTGAAGCTAATTGAACCCTGCCGTTTACTCAATCTACAGTGTGTATCAAAATAATTCGAATCCAAATTTGGCGTGTAATAACGCAGAATATATTTGACAAATTCGGTTGGTTTTTACACCATTGTTAAGTTCATTTATTTACCTTTCAAATGACTTGCTGTACGCGTAATTTAGTTGGAAAATGAAGGAGTATTGCTTTGACAAAAAAAAGTCCATAAAAATCACAATTTTCCGCCGATGGAAATTGGACATTTTTTCTTTCAATAGTCCCACAAGGCTTTGAAATGCTAATCATCACTGAAAACTTAAATGCAAATTTAACGCGAATTTCTTCTCGTTCAACATGTTGAAGGCATAGGAGCTTAAATCTCTTTAAATGAACACGAATTTATGTAAATTTTGCTACATAACAGTTTGTTGATTAATTAAATTTGCATTATCTTTTGTTTGTACGTCTCACTTCGAATTCCCATCGGCGGAAAAATTTGATTTCGAGCAACCAGTTTTAACACACGATTTCTTGGTCATTTTTGATCTTATTGATATAAGAACGATATAATCGGAAACCTAATAGGCTATTCTTTATTGCCATATAAAAATTATATGGTTTACTTTAGTATTTTATAAACAGCAGTCTGTCAAATTTGGATTCGAATTATTTTGATACACACTGTACAGGGTGTCTCAAAAAAACCCAAAATCATTGAAATAACGTATTGTTCGAATTTCAATGCCGTAACACAAAGTATTTTGACAGGGTGATTAATTTGTTTTAAAAAATTAAAATATCTTTGTAAAGTGAACGTTTGTTTGCTCATGGGAATTTAAAAATGCTTCGTAAATTGTATTATGCGTAATATGCATTCGTGGGTTTAGTACTTTATGCCTGACATAACAAGTTTACGCTGAGTATTACCATTCATTATAGCAGTTATGTCAATCTTTTATGCACTCGTGGGATTAACTTAGTGCTAGAGCATTGAATATCGAACAATACGTCAATTTCAATGATTTTGGGTTTTTTGAGACACCCTGTATAA